AATTCGTTTAAAAAATACTAATTCGTAATAGTTTTTAAATTACTTTACAAATTTGTCTAATTAAAACGTATTTAAACCAATAATTTTAGAGAAGAACACATACGAGCTATTTCTGATGCGGTGCAGGTAGCACGAAATCACCAGAAATTATTAAAACCACATATAAACTTAATTAATCGAAAAATTGTTCAATTTCTCAACAGCCAACGAATTTTATATGTCCGGTTAGCGTGTCAGTCAGCTGGCGAACTTTTTAGGACAATGCGGTGCACAGATCGACCAGTAAACCCATAACATATTTACTATTTTTTTAACTTAACTACTTTAATAGGTAGTAACTTGACTAAAAATGAACATTATTAAATTTGTTACTATTATGTACATAGTTATTTGATAACATTGTCACTGGACTTATGAACCGTACAGCAGATAAAAATCAAAACATTCGTATTGATGCGAATTGGGCACTTGATAAAATGGTGATCAGTATCCCGCCGTTATATTCCATAAATTCATTAGCCAACTGTAGTCAACACAAAAATCCGGCTGTTAAACTAGCACAATTGCGACTGATGCATTGTGTTACTGTAATTGCAGATCCAATTAAAATATTAAGTGGAATAACCGGATTAAAAAAAGCTAGACAATTAATTCTTAAAAATTGCGTAGCTACAATAGAAGATGCTAACGCAGATATCAGGTAACGGCCAAGATGTATACCAAAATAAAAATAAATAAAAAATAACAGCTTTTTTTTTATAATGACAGCTTGCTTGCTTTTTTGTAAATATTTTTTCTTCTGGAGTTCAAAATTAGAATAATAGGTATTGTATATTACCTACATAGCGAAAATTTAAAATATTACAATGAAAAAAATTGGTATCTAATTTATTTGAAAAAATTAAACTATAGTTACCTAATAAACATTAGAAATTAATAAAACAAATATCGAATACCTATTCACACCTATAATCGCCCAATGAAAAGTTTTTAATTATAAATATATTAATCAAATTTATTTATAGGTTTCTATCGAAAAAGCTCATGCAACTTTTAAAAAATACTTGTTATGAAAGTTTCTGCTCTTCATTAGTTCAAGATATCAGTTGGGATGAATTAAAAATTGCTGAAAAGGTATTTATTCAAAAATATATTTAATTATAAATATTAAGTAGGTATTGACTAAATGCTATAAATACTTTTATAATTTGTATACATATTATATATTTATGAAACAAAATGCACTTATATGTTTGGAATAATTTCGTTAACTACCGAACGGATCAAACTAGTAATTTTCGATTTAAGAAGTACAACATTTAGTAAATTATAAGTATAATTGTATGTGTCAAATTCCTATTCACGAAATATTGAGCGATAAATAGAAATACATCAGTAACATCATCTGTCCAGTAAAATAAAATTAAAAAAAATATTCCATGTGAAATCGGATTATGCAGCTAGATGAATTATTATCAGTATTGTATTAAATTAAAATGTTTCATTTAGCTTCATGAAAATTTAAAAAAAAATAAGGATTTGCCCGTAAACTTACATTTAACCTGAGATATATCTAACAGATATTATATCGCCGTACGTTTGTTCATTTTTCTCGGGTTATACAGAAAAAAAATATTGATAATATCAATATTTAAATAAACATATTATGTTTATTATTTGCCTATGATAATTTCCGAAACTACAAACTCAATTTACATGTGGGTTTTCGTTAATCAGAAATTATTTTTCAAAAAAGTTCATAACTATATACATTTTTATGACTAATCTAGCACCTGTCCCTAGAAAACTATAGAGCGGTTAGGTTATTTCAAACATGCTCCAATTGATGTTTTTAGCGCGTTATTTTAATTTTTTTTTTTTTATTTTATATATATGAACCAATAATTTACTATTTACTGTTTGGGTGGAGTCTAATAATACAGCTAAATATAAAAGTTAATAGTATAATAAAAATATAAATGCTTATAAAATATACTTATACTATATGTCTATATAGTTTATAAGTTTTAAGTAAATGTATTTTTTGTACTTATAGTAAATTAGTGTAATTTTATAAATTTTACTGTTGAATTTTTCGGAAATATAAATTTATGTTGATTTAAATGATAAATTCGAGGTGATAAATTCATCCACCATCCATGTCCCACGAAAGTTTCATAAAATTTATTTAGATATTAGAATGCTTTTGTTTTATATTATATCAATAAGGTTAGTTATTCAATATTCACTTAACAATTATTTTTAAAATAAACAAAAAAATAATAGCCTAAAACCTAAGAGGCTAAGCTTATAAATTCAAGAACATATAGTTTTTAAATTATTAATGTAATATAAATAACAAATTTTAACTTTTTTTTATAGAATTTAAATATGGAAGATTTAGCTGATATTTTGAAGAAAAATATTAAATGAAACTAGTTTTGCAGTAGTAATATATGAAACTATTTGATTATTTAAATGAGATATCTATTAAAATGTTTATTGAAATAAATATATATTTTCTGTACCTAGTTATTAGTAGGTGCTTATAATGTTGTAATAACTAATAATGTTTTTATAAGTAAGTGTTAAGTGCTGACAAATAAAAATGTCTTTTAATTACTTAATAAGTATCTGAGTAATTGAATAGATAGTGGTTAACTGCTGAATAAGTTACAACTTAAATTGTGGACAAGATTGTGTAAAAAGGGGGATGTATCTGTGGAGGTTAGATCCTACCCCACATGTATTTTTTTTAAATATTATAATGTAGTGTTCCTACTGTTCCTTGTGTAAAAGCGTTACCAGAAAACATAAAAAAATGGCTGGGATTGTTTTAAATACTTATTTTGTTATATCCAAAAGATAGTACACAGTTAAACTTAAACTAATGACTATAGGGCTGGGATTTTGATGCAAAGGCATCTTTTTTTCTGGTATTTTGAAGCATTGGTCCGTAAGTATAAAAATGTTTTGCGTGATACTAATTATTTTAAAGAAATTTTTTTTCTGCATTTTTTGACGAAATTATCCTTAAATGTATTTTAAAAGCATTTTTTGAAGATTTTAATACATTTTATTAGTTTTTAGAGCATTTTTCACAGTTTATTTAAAAAATGAACAAAAATTGTTGCGATTAACAAGAGACTTTCGGCAAACTGCCGATGGTATGAATAATAAATTATATAACACGGTAAGTTATCATTGATAACTTTTTTTTTTTTTAAATTATTATTTTAGAATAAATGATTAAGAAAACAGAAATACAATAGAACTAAACAAGTAACAACGAACAATACTATTAAAAAAAAAAAAAATACACTACTGTAGTATCATTTAAAACTTTTTTTCAATTTTTAAGCTATAATAAATATAGTTTAAATGCATTTTTATAGTGCACTTTTTGAGTTTTTTAAGTCATTTTTGAATTTTTTTTAAGGAATTATTGAGATTATTTAGGGCATTAAAAACCCAGCTCTACTAATAAATAATCAGTAATAATAGTATTTTATTAATTTCATAAAATATATTATTAAATAATAATTATTATTACAAGTATAAAATTTGACCAATCGGCGACCGCGCGCGGGCTGTCGCCACCGCTGCCAATATCAACACTAAAACAAGTAACAACATTCATATTATGTTCGTTAGCTAATAAAATATTTTCCTATACATTAGAAACAGTTTTAAAAATAAGTAGCGCGTTTAGCCGTTTAGACTTTCCGCATTTATATTGAAATATTAATAATTTTGTGGATACCTAAATACCTAATAGACAATAGTAAAGTTTCTCTGTAGAAATATTCCTATTTCCTACTAATTCTGATTCTAAAGAAGTAATTGATGAATTAACTAAAAAAAAAAAATTAAATTAAATTTTTTACTTTTTTAATATTTGTAATTTTTAAATAGAATAGAATGTATTAAATATAATATAATAATTAATATGACATATTATATCTTATTATTAATTATTTTAATGGGCAGCAGAACAAATATTCTATAGAGTATAGGCTCTAATATAAGTAAATAATCTTGAAGAGTTCCACTTTAAGGCTTAAATAGTTAAACGCATGTAATAAAGCTTACTAATAAATTTATTAAGATAGATCAAGTATAATAAATCTTAGATTAAATTTCCATAACATTTAAAAGTAATTTTATAATTTTTGAGTATAACAATTTTAATTTAAAAACAATATATATGAAATATTATATTGTTAAAAAGATTAAAATCAATTCATTCCTGAGATTTGTTAAACTTTGTCCTGAATCTAAAATAATTGACAAAAAAATAACAAATTAAAGACGGAATTTTAATTGAATATTTTTATTACAAATCTGAAATGAGTAATAAATAATGGTAAATAATTATTATAATAATATTATGGGAAAAGAATTAGAATTAAACAAAAATTAGTTGCTGGATATAAAAACAGTTCTATGAATAAAAAAGGAACAAGAGTAATATTAGAAAAAATATTACATTTTATCTTCGAAATAATAGAAAACTTTTTTAACAAATTAACTGAAATGTAAAATAATATGATTTAAATTAAATCATTTTAAATATTGTTTATTTTAAACAGATACATTTTGATATAATTACATGCAATTGAATAAATTGAAATCAACTAATATCTTTTTATGTAGTTTATGGGAAAATAACATGAAAACCACCGAAGAAAAGAATTTTGTGTACTTGTTCAAAATTCAAATCAAATATTTTTGGCGGCGCATCATGCATAACATTTTTAATCCGTGATAATAGTTATCTGAAACTGATATGAACATGTTCTTTTTCGAGAATTATAAGATATTAACTAAAAGGATGATCTTCTATGATAAAGCAATAGTCGGTATTCCGGTTGTCATAAAAAGTATTTACCAATTATAATAACTATCGAAAGGCTAGGTTTTAATAAAATGATCATCATTGTAATTCATCATCATTAATTTAAAAATAGTTAAATAATTTTATTTACGATCTACTGAATTTATACATTATTAACTTTTTTTTCACGACTATGTATAAAATAATTTAAGCACTAAATAAAAAAAATATGGTTTCCAAACTTACATTTGTTGTGTCGTTAACTTCATTTTTATTTACTGTCAATGGATTGTATGAAGATCAAGTTGGAAAATTTGACTGGTAAGTACTGTGCTTGGTGCATTTGACTATCATGCACATTAATTTGCTCAATCCAGTGTGAAAAAAGCACACTAGGATGTTAACACTATATTTATGTAATTCATTACATCAATACCTTTTTATTTTACACAAAAAACGAAATGTTAAACTTCCTTTCAGAAATTAAATTCTTATCAAGTATTCAGTTTATCATCAAAAGTGCCAAAATTATTTTTCCTAATAGTTCAACATGCCAAACAACAATCATACACTTCACTCCACTGTTAACAAACTAATTAATCTATTTAAATTATAAAATTAATACTTTAATGTTAAATTTTTTTAGATTTTTTGCATTATTTAAGGAGTAAGCTGTAGAGATAAAAACTTCTGTTTTTCAAACGAGAATTCTTTTATACTTAAAATTATTTACCAGATATTTTTTCTGAATATTTTGATGTTTCAAAATCAAAACTAAGAAAAATGAATAGGTTAAACTTAGTATTACTAAACTGAGCTGTTTAGTTTTGTGTACAAAGAATAAAATAAGTGTTTAATTATGAGTTTGGAGAATCTGAAGGCCATGATGGTTTAAAAACTTTAGAAATTAATGTCAATCTATTTATATTTGTAATTTATAAAAATTGTCAAAGGTCAAAGTATAAGAAATAAGTACTAGATTCAATATTACATCAATGTTATATTTTTGAAAACTCATATTTTAAAACTATTATCTATAGTATATAGATTTCAATAACTGAGAAACCACTTATTCTAACTTCAAATTAGGTACCTATCAATAATTTCAAAAAAATTATCAATTGAATAATTTATAGTAAATATAAGGTTTCTCATTTGAAAAACAAAAGTATATGCTCTATAAGTAGCATAAAAATTCTCGACAAATTTGAAAATATGGTTTTTAAATTTATTTAAAAATTTTGAAAATCAGGATCTAAATAAATTTGTTATTAAATAAAAAATATGGGTGATCATGATTGGTGAATGAATCATTTAATAATAATATTTTTAGGTAGTTGTATTTATTTGTACATATTTACCTGCTTATCAACCAATTAGTATTCTTTAATTATTTGAATGTATTTGCTATTGACATGTTCAGTCATTATAAACTATTGAATAATTTTTTATTATTATTTAATGTTCCTTAATGTATTTAAATAAAATTTTAATTACTATTATGATTTTTAGGAAACAAAATTATGTTGGCGAAGTTAAATTTTCATCAATTGATGTTGATGTAACAACAAAAAGGTTATATGTTGCAACTAAGAAAAATGTTGTAGCTTCATTAGCCATAGATACTGGTAAGTAATAAATAAATAAATTGTATATGTTTCTTAATATGGTTAATTATGTTAAGGTGACATTATTTGGAGACAAATTTTGGAAAAAGGCCCCGAAGGTAGTGTTGAACTAATACATCCAACCAAATCTAAAATCATTACAGTTAGTGGAATTGATGTTATCAAAGTGAGAGGATGGGATGTCAAAGATGGATATTTACATTTTGAATGGAGTACAGAGACTAGTAACGTCTTGTATTTGTTTGTTTTTAACGGACTTCTCCATAATGTGTATTCATCAAACAATTTAATTGCTGTTGATACATATCATTTAGAAACAGGTGTCAAAGGAAAAGCTACTTATACTTTCCCAGCATATTGGTTTAGTGGTTTTGATCGGTACAATAATATATTAATGTGTTATATATTTAATATTTTTGATTGTATTTTAAATATTTTTAGTTGTGCATTATCATCTGGAAGTTTAGCCTGTTTTGATGTAGCTGGAAAATTAAATATTGGATCATTAATAAAATCTAATAATGATCGTCTAAGTCTTGATATAATAGGAGATAATATTGAAGCTATTCCTGGAAGCCCAATACCTGCATTTATTATAACAAATAAAAATGTAGAAAAATTAATTTATGTCAAAGATAATACAATTCATACACGATCTTTAACAAAACGATCATCACCATTTATATATACATATATGGCTGACAGGCATATTTTATTACAAATTTCTTCACCTGTACAAGTATGTATTACATAATTTATGCAATTTGTTTTAAATATTTTGTATAATTAACAACTAAGTTTTTTCAATTTATTTTACAATTTTTTTTTAGTTATCAATAAAAATTATAAATGAATTAATAATAATTGTATTCACTTATACTTTTACCTAAATAAGATAATAAGAAAATATACTACCTTATTTTTATTAGTGTCTGCTTAGTGTTGCTAACCTAACTTTTTGTCTTCTTATTTAAGATTTATTGTCACATTTTTTTGTACCTACTAATCAAATATACTAAAAAATAATCATTAAATATTTTTAGGATACTATTGTAACAGAAGGATCAATACTGGAGGATTCTACTATGATTGAAAGTTTGTCATCAAAAGAGTCTAAGAGTACATTAAAAATTTCTAATCCAAAAATATCTTCTGCTTTTTGTGCTCGTAGTAAAGCAAATACTGTTAACTGTGTCACTTTAGTTTCAACACACGATCAATCATTAATGCTTCTTAAAATGCCAGGTAATTTAATTGTTTTATTATTATGTAAAACCTATTAAATAATAATGTTTCGTGTATATGTGTTACGGGCAAAGTAATTTGGGCATTTTCTACAATACCTGGGTGTTGTATAAAGTGGCCTTTGTACAATGGACAATAGATAATATAGTATTAATTGTAAATTATTATCAAAATATTAAAGCCAGATTAAGCGCTGATTATTATTTGTAGATTTGGATTAGCTAGTGAGTATTTTGGTTTGTTCTTATTGGTTTTCTTAAATGGGAAAGTCTACATAGTAAATGTGACATATATTATGATTGTAATGTTTATTGTATAATACTATAATCAATAAGACCTTTTACCTATATGGGTTCATCTATGGCATAACTAAGGGGGTGCAAAAAAGGTCTTTAGCATCTCTTATTTTTTATACCTAACTGTTATTGTTTTAGTAAAATACCATGGCTTTGTGAAGCATTAACAGTTTTAACAAGTTTTAGAGGTCTAGTTGCGCGTATGGAGTTAATTCTTGTAAAATTAACTTTTTAGTAACCACAAATCATTTGTATAGTGTAGTTTGATTGTGTATTAACTTATAATTAAAATATGGCAAAGTTTAATGCAAATTTAAATAATTTGTTAAAAAAAAAGTTCAATTAATTCATTTTTTACTAAATTAAAAAAAATGCCACGAAAGCAGTACATGTGAAAATAAGTGATACTAAAATAAAAATAAATTATTATATTTTCTATATTGCTTTATATATGAAGGCCATTTTAAATAATGTTCAGGCATTGTATAAGATGCCCAAATTGTATAATTTTCCCATAACATATATGTATATTTTTTTGAGGGTGTGGATTTGAATCTCACTTCTGAATTTGTTGGGCATTGATTCTTTGGGTCAATTACTATAATCGCACAACATGATCATAACCATTAATAATATGCGAATTAAAGAACAAATAATCAATTAATGCATACGACACATTAATTTTATTTAACATATACAAATAAAATATAATAAAAACATACAAAAGAATAATAATGTAATAATTTTGATTTAGTGTCGTGAAGCGTGTACAACATGTACGCGCATACAACAAGTTGTCAGATAATACTGAAAACTAATAGTAATAATAATTAATATCATCAGATGCCTTATCATAATATTATCTTATTATTACAATATAGATTATAATCAAGTGCAGAGTGAGAAAAAAATTCAGGCTAGGAAAATAAATTTCCTCCAGGCCATTCGACATTTTCATTTCTTGAATAAAATAAAATTCTTTTTTTCTTTTTATACTCTTGAGGTCAACAGGCCATTTAACTTCCAGGCCACTGGGATTTTTCCTGGTATTCTGGTGGGCCACTCCGCCCTTGATTATAATTTATCAAACCATTGATCTAAAATCCGGGTATTAATTTTAAATCAACTTTGATAAGTATAAGTAATATTGGTAGGTCAAGAACACTATGGGTAATAATTTATTTTTAGTTAAAATTAAATTCTTCTTTTTTTTTTCAATTTTTTTAAGAACTAAATTACATTTATTCTTAGGAGGGTACAAAGATGTATTAATTTATTTTTATCTTTATATACATAATTTAACTAAAACTCCTAAATTATATTCATTATAATAACATTGTTAAAATTAAGATATTATAAAAAATAATTATATCATCTGAAATCTTTAAAAAAGTTTACAAATAACTAAAAATGTAAAAAAAAATAAATACTCCAATAATCTTAACTTTCTAAAAAATCTTCCAAAACAATACAGATTATTCTTAATAATTGTTTTGTTATAATAAGTAATTATATCATAATTTTGATATTATTATGAGTTTATGACAATAAATAAAATATTTAGAGGTTTTAACTTTATTCTGTATATTTAATTATTGATTCAAAGGATGTAGTCTTAAATTCTGGTTTAAAGATTAATAATATTAGTTTAGATAAGTGTTCTGCTGTACATTAAACATAGAATGCAACTCATAATTAAGTAAATCACTGAAATGGATTTTGTTAAATTTAAATTCAATGATAATTCATTGTACACAATGAAAAACCATTCTTAACGAATACTGTTTAAATTTTGATAACCATGGTTTTAAAACAATTATTTTAATAATTATATTAAATTTGTGGGAAAATTACTATTTTCCTTTAATTTTGTTTTCGTTTTTCCAATTAAAAGAAATATACTAGAATTTTTATCTTGAACCTCTTTAAGTAAAAACTAGATTCTATTTATAATCATCTTTAAAGTAAAACTTGAAGCATTTTATTGACTGCTAATTGTGTATTCAGACACAAAAAAAAAAATCCACTCATAATCGTAAAATCAATACATTCATCACTTCTTTCAGAATTTAAAATACATTTGACTGTATTATTTATTTCCTTATGAAATAATTTATACAAAAAACAAAATAATATAAAATTTCTATATTAATTAGGTTCAATAAAATGGCATAGAGAAGAATCTTTAACTAATATTATAAATGTAGAGCTGGTGGATTTACCAGTTTCTGATATTGAAGCAGCAATTGAAAAGGAATTTGGAAACAAAGAATGTAAGTATTTTATGCTCAGTAAATATAATATAAATTCATAATGAAAATTAATATAAAAGTTATGTTTAAACATATTTATAAATGTTTGTGCTCAAGCATTTTTGGATCACAGTGTCTCAAGTGAGTGATGATGAGTGATATAAAGGTTTATTTGTAGTGTTGTAAAAGTTTGAATTTTTGTGTTTAAATATAATTGTTTTTTTTTTTCTTTTAGTTTTTGATATTTTTTTTTTTTTACATTTATTCTATATAGTATTATTTTTTGGTGTAAAATTATTTTTTATTGTATTTTATGTAGCTGGCGCTTTCAGTATGTTTGTTCGTCGTTTGTTCAGTCAGTTACAACAATTACGTATTCTATTTGAAACTGTATTTGGAATTATAGAATCACCATCTGAAACGACAGGAACCAAAAGTAATTTAGTCCGGGATCAGTTTGGCTTACATAAAATTATTGTGGCTGTTACTAGTGCAGGAAAGGTGATTAAATTATGAAATTTCATACTTCAAACTGTGTAATTATAATTACTAAATGATTATTTTGTCTTAATATATTAGGTATTTGGCATTGATAATTTAAATGGTGAAATACTATGGTCTGTCCTGTTATGTGGTGTTGGAACATTTTATGAAAACAAGGTTAATAGATTGCCATCAGCTCCTATGCATTTACAAAGAAATTCAAAGCATTTATCATATTCACCAATGTGTACATTGTTGTTGAAAAGCGAAGTAATTTGTTTATTATATTTTTATTATACATTAAATAATTTTAAATTTTGCTATTATTTTAGGATTCAGAAAATACAGTTTTGTTTACATTTAATCCCATTAATGGTGAATCCAAAAGTATGTTATTTCAATATTTCATTATTCAGTCTTTTACTAAAATTATAATTTTGTTAATTATTGTTACTTGTTTTTGATTAATTTAGATGGTATTACACAACTTCCATATAGAGTTGTACAAGCTGTTCCTCTTCCAGTTTTGAATATTGAATCAATCCGTAGTCTAATATTGTTTGATAGCTCCAATTCTCCTCATCTTTATCCTGCTGATATACCATTATCTTCAAAACCACCTCCTATTTACATATATATTGCTAATCCTATAAATGGCTTACTGCAAGGATTTACTGTTGATGTACCAATTTCAGGAAAGGTTTGACATTTTAGTAATACTTTCAAAAAATTAAAATTAATTGTATAAATTTATTCTCAGGAGTTTTCTGCTAAAGAAGTTTGGAAAATACAATTTAATAAACCTACTCAAATTATAGCAATTGGCTCACGAGATGCTATGGAACATGTACATTCCCAGGGTAGAGTACTGAGTGACAGAAGTGTTTTATACAAATATATTAATCCTAACATGGTGGCTATTTTGACATTGGCTCCAGATACTACTCATAAAAGTATGTTAAATTTATAAAAACTATATTGTTTTTAACTTAGTTGATTTTAGGTGTTTTGACGTTACATTTATTGGATGCAGTCAGTGGTATAATTATTTACTCAGTTGTTCATAAACGAGCTTCTCATCCTATTCATTTAATTCATTCTGAAAACTGGTTGTTATGTTCTTATTACAATGACAAAACTAGACGAACTGAAATAACATCTTATGAGCTTTATGATGGAAATCAACTTTCAAATTCTACAAGTATTATAAAATACCTTTTAATTTTATAATTAAACTTTAGTTTGTTAAACAGTATTATGTGAATATTTTAGATTTTTCTTCTGTTGGTGGTAGTTTGATCCCTCCAATTGTAGAAAAGCAAGCTTACATACTTCCTGGATTTTTACAAGCCATGAAACCAACCATCACTGAAAAAGGAATTACAAGCAAACATATATTAAGTGAGTTATAATGCTTTGTTTTTTGCCACTGATTTTAGATCTTAGTATTTATAGTTTAGCCTATGCTGTATTTATTATCAATAATAACATTTTCAGTGGCTACTACAACTGGTCATTTATTAGAAGTTCCATGGGCATTTTTAGACCCTCGTAGACCATTAGGTGAACCTAAAGAAGAAGGAGCAATACCGTATATTCCTGAACTTCCAATGCCATCTGAATCTATGATCAATTATAACAAAAGTCTTATGCGAGTTGATGGCATATACACTACACCTAGCAGTCTAGAATCTACATGCTTAGTTTTTGTTTATGGATTGGGTAATTTTATTATTATTATTATTGTTTTTTGATAATTTATGTAATTCGTTTAAATATTTACAATTTATGTTTTAGATCTATTTTATACAAGAGTTGCACCTTCAAAAACGTTTGATGTACTGAAAGAAGATTTTGATTATTTAGTAATAATTGTTGTTACTACAATTCTTTTAATAAGTGCTTATGTAACAAAAAATCTCGCCTCACAAAAAGCATTAAAACAAGCGTGGAAATGAATCAATACAAAAATATAACCACTTATTGGTTTAATGATTAATTGAATCATAAATCTTGATAATATCAAAAAATTAATTTAAATTTTTCGTAATATTAAGGATTTTTGTTTTTATATTTGTTTTTTTCTGTAAGAACTTAATTTATTGTATAATATTAATGTTCAATTATAAAAATTAAATTGTGGATTTCAAAAAATGTATTGGAGTATAAACTTTTATGTGTGATTTTATTAAAATTCTTTGAAAAATATTTTTTATGGACATTCTTTCTAATTTTATTGAATGTGTTTATTATGTATCAAAAATTATACTTTTTTAAATTAATTAACTCTCAAAAGCTTCAACAGTAAAGATTATTAACTTTTCTTATAATATTTTACTTAATTATATAAACAATTTGATAATAACAAATAAGAAACTTAAAACTATTTTGGTACTCCAAAGAAATTAAATGACATTTTTTGGTTGGCTAGAATGTGTAAAGATTCTCTGGTATGTAGTGTTATTTTCTATCTCGTTCATTGAATTTGTATCTTATCATTTTATGTTTTACTTTCAATACCAAAGTATTACTTCTCATGAAGTGCATTCTGTTAGTGGTTTGTTTTGTATGAGCCATGAAGTGTCTATGTGTCAGATGGTCGTTATCGACCCTTAGTTGATGTATTATCATTTCTATCTGTCTAGGTGTTTTGAACTATTACAAGGATTTATATTTTGTTTTACTTTCATAATTTTGTATTTTGGGTTGACCACTGATTTTATAAAATGTGTACATTTTTTTTTATGGCATTTTAATTTGAAAACATCAGATGCTTACAGATAAATTGTTAGTTTATTGATCGATTAAATCATTTTAGCATTTGTCAATTTCTCAGTGATCAGATAAAGTGGATATTCTGGTTTTGTGCTTTTAAATATTGATTTTTATTTATTATATTGTTTGCTATGTTGTTGATATGGAAATTATTTTGAATAAAATTAAACTGCTCAGTGGATGTTTTATAACTTTAAAGTTTATTATTAAGAACATTAACATACAGTAATGACGACTTCAGGCATATAGATCGATAATTTTTTTTTTTTAAATTAATAATGTGATTTTAGTTTTTGTTTTGTTATTGATTATAACTACTTTATCTATGTCTTGTTTGTTTTTAGAAGCATTAGTATATATTCCCTTGCAAAATATTTATTGTTGAATTCATAGAATAGGTATTTAAAAATTTCCAAACATTTTCCCCCTTTTTTTTAACAGTTAGTTGTATATTTATGTATTTATTTTAATCAACCATGAGGATGTTTGATAAATAATATATTATGTTAAAAAATTTTAATTTTTATTAACTAGTATTAGTTAGAGGTGGTCTAGTATTAATATTTCAACAAATTTTAGTGTGATTTGAATTCTTCATATTCAGAGAATAATAGGTTATAAGCCAATTATAGAATATATGTTTCTAACTGGTTTAGAATTAAAAGCTTTGTGTAAGCAGATGTTAAAATAAAAGTAATACTACAAACAGTATAAATGTTTATAATATAATATAATTATATAATAAAAATAAAAAAACTAAATGGAAAATATTATATTGCATATTTGTGTATACAGTATACTGTGTATTATAATATAGTATAGGTGTTGTCTGTGTATTATTATAGAAAATAGCATACCACATATGAACTAAATAGCAATAATCAAATGGAAAGTTTTAAAAATTATAGAGATAAATATACAGTTACATACTCTATTAGTATTAAAGCTTTAAATAAACTTAACAGTAAATGTTACAACTCATGAACATTCATATTATGTAATAATAAGGATGAAGTAACTAAAAATTAAATTCCTTATGTATTTACTATATGCAAACAATAAGTAGCACTTGTAAAGAAAACATTTATCTACCCTTTTTTTCCTTACTTTTTATTGAATAGGTACTTGAGTCAGGAAGCATTTCGTTTTGTCACGAGTTAATACTATGAAAATTATACTCTACCTATATCTAGTACCTAAAGTACCTTCACAACTAAACATGTCTTTGACACAACAATGAGTCAATAGTTCATTTAAGAATATAGATTCTAGATTAGGACTTTTCCCCTGGAGTATGCCAAATGATAAATTAATAATAAATTAAAATTTTGATTTTTTTCAATCACATTATTTCATTGATAGAAAATAGTTGTTACCTTGTAGGTATGTTTAGTTTCTTAATTTCTGTACAGCAAAAATTAGTACCTAGTTACCTAGATAGTATTTTATTTTAATTTTAGAACTTAATGTTGGTTGCTTATAAATAGGACTCGGAAGTTGATGACCTTAAAAACAATAAAAAATTACCTAAAAAAATTACAAATATTAGTTTTATATTAATAAAAATACATTTTTTTTAAATATTTTACTCTATTTTACTATAAAATTCAAAATATGACATAAAAAAGACAAAAATGTCCTTAACGTAGGAAAATAGAAAAATAAAAAATATTTGTTTTATAAATTTATCAAAGTTTACAAATTATTTAAAAATCAAAATCATTGCATTGATAAATGTAATCGTCGAGATAAAATTGAATAAGTACTAATCTTAGTCTGTGCTAATTTCCAAGTTTTAAGTTATCGGCATAAGGGTCAATAAGAAACGATAAGAAATAAACTGGTGTGAAATCAGTAAAAATGACTAAAAATGTGGGAAAATGACCTAAAAATGTTAAAAAATGACTTAAAAAGTAATAAACACTAAAAAATGCAAAATAAAAATTAGTTATTCAGATTCACATGCTTATGAAACAGATTTGTGGCCAGGAAAGCATCGTCTAAAAATTTCCAAAAAAAAATGCAAAATGCATCAAGTTCCGAGTCCTACTTATAAATATTTGTATATAACACAATAGGTAATAGATACCTAATCAATTTGTAATTCGTAGACTCTTCTTACAAGTTACAGGCTTTCGTACTTGAAGAATACTAGTTGTGACACTGCAACAAATAATTCAAAAATCTTTAGAACAATCATCTACAATTTTATTTAAAAAAATCTATAAAAATATTTATTTTTTTATCTTATTGACATCAATTATCCTATAACTTACTTTAATACCAGTGTTTCTCAACCAGTGAATCGTGATAAACTGTTGGTGTGTTGCTGAATAAGTCTAAATTTGTCACGAAGTATATTAAATGACATAAAATATAGGTACAACTATTTTTAACACGATTTACAATAACTTATAGGTATTTGATATAATTTGTATGATCACCAAAAATAAGTTATCTGTTATCAACATATTTTACATATTTTATGTAACCAATTAAAATAAACATTACCTACCAATTTTATTATTCTTATTATTTTTTTTTTTATTGTGTCGCAAAGTATGAATAATGTTTTAAGTGTGTTCTTGTAATATTTAGGTTTAAAAACACTTCTTTAAACTTTAGTTCCTATTTCTAACATCTTAATTAGAAAACGAAAGGCCCAAAGCCAGACAAAAATGATAAATATAGCCAATATACTCAATAAAGGTACAATTGTATTATGAGGTTTTGACAAAAATAAACCTTATTTGGATACACCAAACTATTGTTATTTGTTATGTATTATGTACTATAATAATAAGACTGTAAACTTCTGGAAGCTGCAGTTGAAATATTAAACAAAACATACACATACATTTGTCATCTACAACAGATAATAGATGAAACACAAAGGAAAAGAATCCATATCCTAGGAACACATCGATTAATTTCAGTCGTCAATAGGTACATATGACTATATAGTCTATATATATATATATATATATATATATATATATATATATATATATATATATAATATACATATAAGATATAGGCAATAATATTATACAAACTACAAAAGGTAGTTTGCAAAATTTAGTATAATATTTTTGACCGAGTGATTTTAAAATATTGGGATATTTTAAGTAACATTTTTTAATATTCCGTGATTTTTCGTATGACGTATTGTACCTATTGAGTAGGTATAAAGAATAGATATGTTGTATACTTATATGCTTGCATAATCGCTTACCCTGCTGGCTGGCAGCAAACACATTTTTAGGTGGCATATAACAAAAGTCCCGAAACAGCACTTTTTAGCAAAAAGAAATTAACAAATATAAATACAATCGATATTTATGGCATAATTATATAAAACACGAAATTTTATATCTTTTTTATTTATCACATCTTAGTAAAAATATGTTTGTTTTACTTTTAAGTAGAAAAAATATGTTGAAACCATGGGCGTCCTCAGACATTTTTCTGGGAGGGGGAGGAAAAATTAATTTAAAAAATAAATTAAGATTTTTTTATACATTTTATTTATAGTATGTTATCATGTTTTGTTATTATTATAATTAGGTATTATTATTGTACATTTTATTTATAGAACATTATTATGAATATTATGTTTCGTTAGTAAAACATTAAATTATTACAACTAGGAAACAGGTTTATAATTCTAGGGGGACAAGTGCCCCGTCTTGTCCTCCCTTATTAGGGACGCCCATGGTTGAAACTCTAATAATAAAATAACTTAATATCCTAAGAACAATAACAATAATAAAAATCATAAATATTTTAAAGACAATTAAAGTTTGCTTATGATTTAGACAAAATTAAATAATTTGTTTACCTTATATAAGGTAATCGGTCAAAACGTTAGAAGACATAAAGTATGATTTAAAGAAAATTTGGATATATTTTTTTACAATACAAAAACAGTCTGAACACATTTTAAATCAGACAAAAAATCCAAAAATCTAAATTATATTTAATTCACAAAATTTAAATTAAATTAAAAAAAAAAAAAATATTGACATTTATAAAACTTTTATATTCACAATAACTAGATTTTATAGTTTATTATAGTTTTATTTTTTATACCTTTAATTTGCATCTACTAATTTTTTCATTTAAAAAATATAGTTAATATATGCAAAAGTATATGTCAAATTCAAAAATACAAGAATAAATATAAATCTAAACAGAACAATTTAAAATATAAGCTAAATAGATACTTTCAAATATTTTAATTAAATGCAACTTTTACTT